ATAATCTATAGAAAAAAAGTTTGAGCTCCACGACTTAAAAAATTGCGAATGGAGCCGGATTACTCTTTTCTTCATAAAGAAGAGTTTTCTACCCATACGACCGCAATCGAAGTTCCTCGTTCTAACTCACACTGAGGTGCGGCAGGAGACTGGACGGTTTTCTATCAGCAGTACACTGGAATACTAGAACACGCTTCTTCTGTGAATTATTGACAGCATCTCCAAACCATTTTGAGCAAACCTGAAATTAGTAGCTTATCGGAAAACAGATGAATTCAGGATAAATTTTTTACTGACCTCCATACTCTTAGGAGTGTGTGCACCATCCAAATAATATTTTATCCTATCCTTCACAACTATCTGACTTCTGCCGGGCCAGTGACACGACTCTATAGCTTCAGCCATTGATTTTGGCACAAAGTATGGACTTCCCGAAGTCCATTTATCCTCGCTACTATCCGGGAATATCTCTGCTGAAAAACGAGCTTGAGAGTATAAAAAGAGCTGTAGGCCTACTTGCTTGCCTTCTCTTTGCGTCTGCTTCAGCCAAGCTCTTGCAAGCTGGAGTGCTAGTGAAACATTGACTTTTTGATGGTCACCAGCTATGCCAGCAGATACCGCTCCTCCCTCGAATGTATAGTTCTGATATGACGGTGCAATGCTGAGCAAAGCCTAAAGATCCATAATGATAATCCATAACGAGGAAATTTCATTTTTCGCCAAATCAAATCCGGCAAGAAAAGACTGCTCACACCACGTTCCAGCGCACGATCCGTTACCACCTTGAGAGGCTGTTCGCATAATGGAGTAACAATCGCAGGACAGCCCCTTTTCAGGATACCAGCTTTGTGCCACGCAATTTCCGTCAAAGTGGTGCCAAGTATAGAGGTATGGTCAATATCCAAGGTGGTAATTCCACAAACAACGGGGTGTCTAAAAAATAGTTTAAGAGGCTGCTAGGTCAATTGCATTCTATCAAAGCAACGGTTCCCAAGATGTCTAGGCTGCGTAGCTTAATCATAACGGTTATTCAGACTTTGATCAAGAGAAAGAGCTTCTTTTACATATCAGGAGCGATCTGCGCGAAAAAAGAAGGGGAGGGAGAACTTCTTGGATGTTCGTAAGTATTCTCCAATGCAAGGTCATCCATAACACAACCTCCAAATGAGCAACTCCCTAATTCAGATTTCCCATTTCTCACGGTCGCTTGCTTTGCAATTCGCTTTTCTCCTTCTGAGCATTCGCAAGAAGTTTTTGCAATGTGAAGTGTACAAAAAACCCATGTAAAACATCTTCGTAGCTTTCCGTGCCGATTCCTTGTCATTCACCAATGTCAAGCAGCGGAAGCCTTCCAAAAAATTGATGTGATAGTGTTGGAAGTGAGCCAGCCACGTCTCGTACATTCTTCGTTCCCTTTTGTGGCTCATATATGTTTTTTTCACTTGCGGGTATAAGATAGGGCCCCTGGAAAGGAAGAGGAAAAGAGGTACAGACTTACTGGACAACATTCGTCGCATCATATTCTCCCCCGATTCCAACTTCAACTATGGCTACATCGACACATTCTTCGATAAAAACGTGGAAAGACAGAAGGGTCAAAAACTTGAAGTAAGGCGGCATGTCTCCTTCATCTGCTTTCTGAAAACTATATACATCTCCCTGAACAGCTGTTAGTGGATGATTTTTTGGAATGCTTTCAAAATCTTTTGCGGACCAGCCACGAAAAAAAAATTCTATAAAGCTAATTCGAATTTTGAAATTTTTTAGAATCATTTCAGCTGCGAACAAGTCAATGGCGCAATTTTTTGACACATGTAGAAATTTTTTAAAGATTTCGTGATCCATTCTGCAATGAGGGGACGTTCCCCTCAATCCACCACTGATATAGGCTGCTCACTAAGCAGATATTTTTTATCATCATCCTAATGTAAATATCAATATTAACCCCGTGACCGTTGAAATGAGCTACAGATGAGTCATCAGTCTGATACAGTCGATCTACGCGTGATTCATACGCTATTCCGGGAAACTTGTGTTCGAATTCATCATACAATGGTTTACCACTACTACAAAAAAATTTTACTTCCTTTAAGCCTCACCTGCCTGAGTTTATTATAGACGGTGAAGAAATGTTTAGCAAAGAGAGTCTCGCTGATAGGCTTTCCATTGATTCGGATTCTTTCACGCGCGTGAACCAGATGAGGTGATCTGAAGAAAGAATTATAAAAAGATCAACTTTAGTGCTGTAATCTTAATTCCCAAGTTAACCTTTCTTTAACAGTGTGATTGGGAAATACTTGGCGAAACGGCAAAAACACTCACGTGTACAAACCAGTTCTAAATCCCAGATTTCTTAAGATGGATTCTACAAAGGCACACGTGGATCCTTTTCCTTTTGTTCCACTTACGTGAATGACATTCAGTCGATCCAGCGCATCAAGCTGAAATAAGCACCCACGGTTAAACGAAAGTGATTCTACCAACTAACTTACTCGTCCTCACTTCTATTCCACATTTATGGAGCTTCACTATCATGTCTGGAATGTTTGTTTCTTGTAGGAGACCTCGTTTTTCCCTGATTTTCTGGATATTCTCAGCATTCGATTGCAAAGAGTTTAGATGAAGTATCGCAGCCTAAAAACCATTCATTAAAATTCAAATATGCGCTGCTAGCGATTAAATCTATTAGGTTGTGTAATAAGTTCTGTCCCATTTTT